CCCCCCGCCACTCGCCCCAGGTGGAAGCCTCAACACCTGCCCCACGCGCCCCATGTGCCCCACGTGGAGGCCTCGTTCAGCGCCCGCCCCACGCGCCCCACGTGGAGGTCTCATACAAACACAAGGGGTAATCCTGGGGAAACGTGCCGAAGCCCATTTAAAAACAACATGATCTGAATGATTTGTGCTGCATCCTATTGCAGACAGCTGGAAACAGGGAGGAGAGACAAGCAGCCATGACCTCACCATCCTAACAGAACCACAGCTATTTCTGTGTTTCTCAGTATGTTCCCTCCATGGGCAGGTTTCCATAGCTGTAAGGGCCGTGGGCAGACAGCCTCAGAGCCAGTCTCCTTTCCCTCCCATCCCACCTCAGTCACGTCCATGCTGTTCGCCATCTTCATAAAGAGCACTGACAGTGGGCAGGTGACAGTGGGCAGGTGCTGTTCCATGGCAGGGAGGCACCTGCACCTACTTAGCAACGCCTCTACAGTCTGTCCGTCATTGCCTCCAGAGAATCGCCTTCACAGATAAGTCTGCAGCGCACACCTGTCTGCAGGGAGCAGTGGTTCCCAGCCTTTTTCTGGCCACACCCACCTGAGCATCTCTAACATCCGGATGCCCCCCTGTGGCACCTAATTCTTATTATTCAAAAAGTGACTCCTGTTCACGGGGAGGAAGCCTAAAGGGCCATGAACTTGGTCTAAACACGCTTCCAAAGAACATGGCATCCATGAAAGAGAAAAATAGAAGAAGGAAAGGACAGCTGAAGTCCTGAGGAAGAAATCACTAAGAAATTGTTTTAAAAAATAATATGAAGTGCTATGAAAAAATAGCAAATAAAGTTTCAGGATATATAGAGAACTGAAATACACAAATCTGTCACAATATATGTTTATATACTGTATATGAGGCCCCTGGAACCATAAGATATGCAAAAACTTCACTCCTAGTAACTCGTTCTCAAATTGCCCCCCTTAAAAAGCAAACTGCCACCCTACGTGGTTTGTCTCAGTGGACAGAGCATCGGTCTGCAGGCTGAAGGGTCCCAGGTTCAGTTCCAGTCAAGGGCACAGGCTCGATCCCCAGTAGGGGGTGTGCAGGAGGCAGCCAATCAATGATTCTCTCTCATCATTGATGTTTCTATCTCCCTCTCCTTCTCCCTTCCTCTCTGAAATCAATAAATATATATATATATTTTTTAAATCACATTGCCCCCCGGTGGGACGTGGTGTGCCCCGTGTTGGGAACCACTGCTACAGAGCTGACATCCTCGGCCTGAACCCTCACAAATGTGAGCGCAGGGAATTACTGCAGGCCACCAGGCTGTTGGCAGAGGTCTCACTGCGTCAGCTACGGCCAGGCCCTGGCGCAGGGCGACACCGGTCTCGCCGCCCCCTTAGCGCCAGGGCAGCCATCACTCGAGTTGTTGCCCATCATTTAATGGAGGAAAATTTTACTTGTTTGATTCATTCACTTGCATCTCTTGGATGCCTAGTGAGACTGACTACGTTCGACACTGGTTTCCTGCCGGTATTTTCTGGTTTACATGCCCCAGTTTTATGTCTGGGCGAGTGGAGGAAAGAACACCACGTTTCTACTGAGAACACCTGTCCCCACCCAGCCGCGGCTGCGGAGCCCTGAGCTCCCCTACAGCAGCGATTCCGGATCTGAAACAATGGGGATCCCCCACCCCCTTGCTGGGCTGTGGCAACATTTCACTGGATTAGCTGTGGGACCTCCCGAGCCCCTTCCCTTTCCAGAACCACCCCCACCCCCCTCTGCCCAGCAAGGTTAGGGTTAGGGTCCACGCTGCCACGTCCACACTGCCACGCTTGTCTTCTCTAACCCGCTCCAATATGCATTTGTCCCCCCCTTTCCCCGTCAGACTCCGCCCATCAAGGGTGCCCACACCCGACAGTCGATCATCAGTCTTCACTCAACTCCAGCTCAGCAGGGAAATCCTTTCTTAATTATCGCCATAGATTTTGACCTACTTTAAGCCCTTCCCAGCCCCTCAGGGCATGACCGCTGCAGTCCCTGTAGCATCTGCCAGCACCTTCCCTGGATTCCACCTCCACCAGCCGTGAGGGCGCCAGTGAGGTCAGCGACGCAGGTACGGGCACGCCCCCCTGTAGCGATCACTCCTCAGAGCTCAGGGGTCCCCGCAGGCGGGGAGGGACTCACCCAGCTGCACCAGGTAGTAGACCGTGAGCAACAGCTGCATCTCCTCGGAGATGGGCTGCAGGGCGGGGGCCCCGTACTGCTCGTAGGCTCTGGAGACGGACTGGGAGTTCTGGTAGCACGTGTACAACAGCGGGCTCACCACCACGTCGTTCAGGTTCCCGCAGAGGTAGGGGAAGTTCCCGTGGCCTGTGCAGGAAGAGTAGCATCGGCCGGTCAGCGGGCCTCGGGCACAGCCCGGGCTCCCGCCCCCGAGCCCTGCCCACACCACCACGCCCTGCGCCTGCCTTGCTCCATTTCCCTGTCCAGGTGTCCCCAAGGCCCCCAGACACACACGGCCACGCAGAGAACACGGCCAGGCGATGCAATGCTGGCCTGCATTTTGGTTGGCCAACGGGGCCCCGTTCGAAACCTACGTGTGCCGCTTCTTCCTGAATACCCTGTCCACTTCCATTTTAAGGAGAAAGAATGGAGTGCCTGCTCTTATTTCCTAGCAGTAAGATACCCCTCCCACTTTCCTAGCACCCCCTCTCCTCTATTCCTGCAAGCATGACAAAATACAGTGTTAATGCACTTCAGAAGGCCCTGACTGTGCACATGTGCATGCGTGTGTGGGGGGTATGTGTGGACATGTGTGTGGATGTGCATGCATGTGTTCATAGATGCCAGCAGTGGGTGCTGTCATCAAGTCCTCACAGTTCAAGGTCTCCCACTTCATTAGAAAAAGCGGTTTCTTAAGGTGAGCCCCAAACCGACCTCCACGTAGCAGCCACCCATTCTCCCAGTGACACAAAACAGAGATCCAATCTAGTGTTCCATGCTTCCTCGTGGTGACCGTGGCTATCCTTGCCCAACCGAAGCCGGACTTCACGGTCAGAAACACCAGCGGCCAAGGGCAACCACGGACCACGCCCAGACCGGCTCCCGGTCCCTTACATCAGCAGAGGCTGAGGGTCCACCTCTCACCGGACGCCCAGCACCGAGCCCGTCACCGGCAGGAGCTCAGGGAGGTGGTGGGAGTGGAGGAAGGAAAGGGCAAATGAACAAGCAAGTGGACCCCCTGGAGCGGAGCAGGGCACTGGCCTGTGGGGGAAACTGAGGCGCACTCTCCCGGTTGGCGCCTGGCGGGAGGGAGTGTCTGCGTTCTTGTTCTCTTGGGAGGACACCCTGGGAGTCAGCCCGCAGTGAGGCCCAGATGTAGGGGACAGGCTCCTTCCAGCCGCCCCACCCCCGACACGTGCTGCACACTGCACCTGCCTTTAAATATCACCGGCTTGGCCTTGCATATTTTCAGCAAGTTGTCGGGAACTGACACTGGTTCCCCAGAGGCCACGACGGGAAAGGTGACGGAGGCTGGTCCCACCAAGCCGACCGGGGGCACGCAGGCCACGCCCGCGCTCTCTGGAAAGACAGCGAGTATTAGGAAGACACAGGCAAGGCATCCACCCCTGCAGGCCAAGGTCAGGCTGGCCTCCACCTCTGCTACAGCCTGACCCTCACCCCCTGACATACCCACGGGCGCACCCAAGTCTTGGAATCCCAAATTTCTGAGGCCAAAAGCACCTTTAAGGTCACTTGGTCCAACCTTTCCCACCAAGTGACCCCCTCTCCTCTCCACTATCCCTGACAGGTGGCAGGCAAGCGCCTTTGCAAATTCCTTCGGGATCAGGGATCTCACTGCCGTGCAGGGATCCTAGGCTTGTTAAGCAACTCGAACACACGGCAGGACAGCCTTTAGCTGTACCAAAGTCAGCCTCCCTAGAAATCCTCACCAACACACAAAAACACAGGCCCACACACGCACACATGCCACCAGCCATGCCCGAGCCTTGATTTGGGCCAAGGCTCCTTTCACTCACCATACTTAGCTCTGCTCCCCGCTCCCTTGGGGTAGCCGCCGTCCGCAGCCGAGGGAGACTCCGGAGACCACCCTTTGTGGCGCTTCTTGGGGGGCCCGGAGTTTGAGAAGATACCTGGAGAACATTCAGAGGAGAGTTGGGCTGTCACGGGGGAGGGGGGGGGGCTTTAATAAAACAGCCCCTGGCTCGCAGGACACTCACTCGTACTTCTTAAAATCAGTTTGCAATGGGTTTCGGGGTCTGTTGGCATCACTGGGCCTCAGGACACCTCCTGCCAGCCCCTGTGATGCTTCACCCCAAAGCTGTGCGGGTGCCTGACCTTTAACCCGGAGCCTCAGCTCCTCTGCCTTTAAAAGGGGAGATAAAACCTACCCCGCAAGGTGCTTTGATCAGGACTAAAGAGAATCTGTGTGGCCCAGCCATGGTGAGCGTGGACCTAGGAACCAGGAGGTCACAGTTCGATTCCCGGTCAGGGCACAGGCCCGGGTTGTGGGCTCCATCCCCAATCAAGCAGGAGGCAGCCAATTAATGATTCACTCTCATCACTGATGTTTCTATTTCTCTCTCCCCCTCTCCCTTCCTCTCTGAAATCAATAAAAAATATTTTTTTTAAAAAAAGAATATAGATGAAGCACAGAGTCTGGGCCCAATCAATGGTGGCCCCGGAGACCCACTTCTCAGCCTCTCACGCGAGGAACGGCCACCCATTCAAGCCACCACCACACTTCACCACTTGGGGGCAGCACCGATCCACCGGGCTCCTCTCCCACCAACCAGTCTTGAAAGCTAATTTCAGACTAAAAAAATCAAGGGGAGCAGAGGCTGGTGCCCACTGCTGCAATGAGTCACCTGCCCACATGGGGAGACAGCGGGCCGTGACTCACACTCGGTCCATGGGTTATTCACATCAAGAATTTTCGGATGCAAAATTCCCCCTACATTTAGAGCTGCACAATCAATCCTGACTGCATATTAAACTCACCTGAGAAGCTTCTAGAATCCTCCACGCCTGCTGCAGCCCCATCCCACGGAAACCAGACCCCAGCACCTGGGTGGGGAGGGGGCCAGGTGCGCGGCTATGCTCCCTGGTGAGTCTAAGGCAGTGGTTCTCAGCCTTGGCTGCACATTAGAGTCACCTGTGAATCTTTCTAAAATCCTGATTTCTGGGCCTCATCCTCCGGAAATTCTGTTTCTCTGTTAATAATGTTGTGGCCCCACCCCATAACAAAGAAACAGGATTTCTAGAGGATGAGGCCCAGAAATCAGGATTTTAAAAAGATTCCCAGGGGATTAATGTGCAGCCAAGGTTGAGAACCACTGGCCTAAGGCATCTCCAGGGGAGATGAACCACTGCTCAGAGCAGCGTTCCTCTACGCGTGGCCCGAGGAGGAGCAGGCAGAACCAGTGGGGCCTGTGCAATCTGCCCGCGCCTGGGCCCCGCCCGTCTCAAAAGATCTCCGAGAACGAGAAAATGCCTCCTTCACATGCGGCCACCCAAGCTCATGGCAGCTGGAGATGGATGGCTTTACAGTCTCGGAAAAGGGATCCGAAATCCCTCTCACGCCTTCTTAGACGGAGAGGAAATCATCTTTAAAAAGTGGGCAGAGCCCAGCTGCTGAGGCTCAGTAGCCGAGGGCTGACCCATGAACCAGGAGGTCGCGGTTCCATTCCCAGTCAGGGCACGGGCTCCGTCCCCCGTAGGAGGGGTGCAGGAGGCACCCAATCAGTGATTCTCTCTCTCTCTCTTTCTCCCTGCCCCTCTCTCTCTAAAAATCAAGAAAACATTTTTTAAAAAGTGAATAAAGAGTTAAAAACATAATCTACTCTGTTTACAAGGAGCTTTCAAACAGGGGGTTCCTTCCACGCTGCAGCCTCTGAGGCAGCTACTGGTCTTGCTGTGTTGAGGCCACAGCGCCGACTCCCCGACCTCTGTCCTCAAGTGTCAAGGCCAGTTTGGCTCAGTGGTTGGAGCGTCGGCCCAAGGACTGAAGGGTCCCGGGTTTGATTCCAATCAAGGTCATGTACCTCACTTGCAGGCTCGATCCCCGGCCCCAGTCAGGGTGCATGTGGGAGGCAACCAATCAATGTGTCTCTCTCGCATCCATGTCTCTCTCTCTGTGTCTCCCTCTCCCTCCCACACTCTCTAAAAATCAATGGGAAAATTCCCTTGGGTGAGGATTAACCAAACAACAAGGCCTGCATCCAACTGCAAGGGGCTGGGCTCGGGCTCCGGGCGGGGGAGCTGCAGACATTCCGCCCTTTGGGCCTCGCACCCAACAGGCTGGAGCCCATGACGTCTCCCCACTGATGTCCCCAGCAGCTGTCCCTCTGGTACCCAATGTCTCAGAGGGGGAGGGGGGATAACTTGGCATTCTGGGTGACAGTTCTTCATCCCCCCAAAGCCTTGACCCACAGAAGGGCAGGCCCCTGGGGAGCACCGCTACCTAGTGCTGAGGGCCGGGGCCCTGCCGGCAGCTTGCCCTTCGCCAGCTGCTGCTGCGGGGAGTCCTTGCCATTGAACACCGCGGGGCCTGCCGCTGCGGGCAGGGAGGGGGGGTCGGAGCCTGGGCCTGAGAGAGAGAGAGAAAGAGAGAGAGAGAGAGAGAGAGCAGTCCGTGTTGAAAACGATTCCAAGTTCAAGGTGAACGGCACAGGCATTGCAGAGAAAGGGAACACGGCAGCCCGATGCACCCTGAAGGGCTGGCCGCATCACCAGGCAGTCACGCGGGGGGCTCCTTGGGGGCCGCTCCGTTGCCTCACCTGCCGGCTGTGCCCCCACCGGGGCGCTGGGGTTCGTCCCAGGACTGGGCTCACTGGAGCAGGCAGCCGGGGGCCCGGAGCTGTCCGGCGGCGGCGGGAAGAGGGAGCTGGAGCCAGGGCCGGTGGGAGCCTGCCGTCCTCGGAGCTCTACGGGACAAGACAGGGCCGTGACCCCCAGCCGAGGGACACTGACTGTCAGGGGAGGACGAAGGTGAGCGTTTGGAGGAGAGAGAGAAACATGACACAAGTTCTCCCTGGTCGACATAAACCTATTTTTAAAATTTACTGTAAACGGCCCACACAATTAGGCTGGCGCTGTACACTGGCTGCCCGTCATGCCAAGTGGCGTTTTAATGCCACACACAGACCTCTCGCCCGCAACCGTGCCCGCTACAGAGCTGCCTCTCTGCAAAGCCCTGCTGACGGGCACCGTGGCCCGCCCAGAGGGCACCCCGCCGCCGCGCCCCCCCTCGCTCACCCGAGCCTTTCCAGCAGATGAGGGGGCCGGGGGCCAGCACCCCCTGTGCGTTGCGGACCAGGTAACACTTCAAGTGCTTCTGCTTCTTGGGCTGCGTGGTGAGCTTCAGGTTGATGTGGTTGGAGAACTCCGTGAAGTAACAGAAGCCCTTCTTGCCGCAGCCAACACAGTTCCCAGAGAATCCTGGAGGGAGATGCACGGTGAACTTGCCCCATCTGCCCTGCAAAGTCCTCCTCCATCACACACCGTTCCCGGAAACTCACCAGCCACCAGAGCACCCCACGGGGCGAAGGTCCCCGTTATCTTGGGCTGGTCCCACTCCCACGGACTCCCCCTGCCCACTCCCCCACGCGCCTGCCTCCGGGCACATGCTCTCCCTCCGTTAAGCCCCACCTGCACGCCCTCTGCCCAGCACTCAACACTCCACTCAAACGCCCACTCCTCCAGGCATCTCCCTTGTCCCACAGGGCCACCTCCCTGCTCTCCAGACCCGACAGCCTCTTTATATTGCTCAGAGGGCCTTGCGATGCCTTCCTTAGTGGTGTAGTTATTGTGATCCCTGCCTTTTCCCCCATAACCACCCCATGGGTCGGTGTGACCGCGTGGGGGTGTGAGCTGCGTCTGTGTATGTCGGTGCAGGTGCACAGATGAGTGCCCGGCATGTGTCCGATCTGTCAGATCACTAGTAAATACAGGAGGGAGGAAGGAGACTGGAAACAAGGTAGCTGTACGAGTGAACGCCGGGTGATTTCTCTGCATACACCCACGTCATCATCGAACACGTGTACTGAGCCCCTTGTCTCCAAGGTGGGGACCCTGGGACACACAGCTCAGCTGCCATCGAAGACGAAGGCCCTGAGACCTCCCACGCTCCCTGGAAGGGACTCTGACCCGAGTGTTGAAACGATGGACAAACGAGAAATGGAGCCGCAAGACGGAGGATGCGCAGAGCCATTTGCCGAGGCCAGCACTGCCTTCCTGTCCAGACACAGACTGGAGGCCTTGGTCCCGGGGGAAATGAGGGCTGTGGGCCATTTCGGAAGCAGGGGTGGGACCACAGGCCACAGCCCGCCTCTCTGTGGTTCCGAAATGACAGTGGAAGCCTCGGTCTCCCCGGTACAGGAAGTGTCTAGGGAGGCGGCAGGGAGGCTGCAGGGAGGCGCTTTCTGGTCGGGAGCTGAGAGATGACCCCGGGCCGGGGAGGGCCAACCATGAGGACCGCAGGCCGGCTTACCAACCACGCCCAGGAGACGGGACATGGTTTAAACCACCAGCTGAACACATGCCCTCATTCTAATCTTTCAGAGGAATTGTCTGAAAAGCAGTAAACGTCTTCATGAGGAAGAATCCAGCACGCCCTCTCTTTGGAAATCGCCTTTCGGACCTGGGGGTCTACGATAGCCTTTAGAAGACAGGCCCAGAAAGCACGCGTGGAACCCGAATCCCCAATTCTTGCCCGGCACAGAGCCCCAGGCCAAGGGAAACCAGCCCTGCAGTGCCCCGTCCACGGGAAAGAGCCCGGCACAATGAATCGCTCTTGACCACACACGGCGGTGGCACGCCGCGATCGCCCCGCGGGTCCGGTGCCGCTGTGTTGAGCAGCTGTGGTGGCATCTGCTTAACTGGCAGATCCTGAGCGGGCGCCTGTGTGTGCGGCCACCAAGCCAGGATCTCCCTTCTGCTGGAGAGAACGCGTCTGCCCTCTCCCCCTTCACTGCTGTGGAGCATGAGTCAGAGGGACCCGGGTGCAAATCCTGCTCCCTACTCCTGTGACTTCGGGCAGGGTCTCTGAGCGTTGGGTTTCTCGTCTGTAAACAAGATGATAACAGCAAACATTTACTGCACACTGACCAGTAAACACGCACTGAGCCAAGCACTTGACATGATAAATGTTCTCACTTAACCTCCAGAAGCACTATAAAACGATTCTCACGTTCCCCGGTTTACAAATGAGGAATCCAGCACAGAGAGAAAGTAACTCACCCATGGGGGGAAGGGGGAGGGCAGTATGAGAGTTAGGACTGAACCATTCTGCTATGGCATGTCCCCACAAAATCCATCTTGAAGAGCATGAGGAGGGCAAAGTGCCCACTATGTGTTCAGCACATAGTAGGTGCTCAGCAAGTGTCATTTCTTCCTCCTCTCCCTTGGACAGGCACAGCTGTATTAGAGAGCAGAGCTCAGATGGATCAGGTCAGGAGACACGTCTGACCCACCCGAGGCCCTCACAGCGCTGAGAGATATGGGGGAAGTGGCTCGCTCTCTCCGGGCCCCAGTTTCCCAGCCATAAAAGGGAAGGGGAGGACTCAACGAGCTCTATGCTTCGTTCCAGAACCACAGTCACAGGATTCTTCTTTGAAGCATCCACAGTGGCTTCCTTCTGATGCGGAGGATGGTCTCTGAGCACACGGCTCACGGCAGGAGGCCCACCTGGGACACACCCAGGGGGCGTGATGGTACCACACGCGGAGGTGCCGACCATCAGGAATGATCTGGAATCCGGCAACAGGCTCACAACTAGTACCCCTGCCTCAGTTTCTCTTGAAACTCATGAAAATCAACTATTCGTGTGGCCTCCAAGAGATCTTCCTAAAATGCAAACTTAAACATGGTAACGGCCTGATTCGAGTCCTCCCGATGTCTCTTTACACTATAAACTGAGGGGAAAGCCAGGAGGGAAGGGTGAGTATGTGAAGAGAGGAAACAAACCAGAGGGGCCTGAGAGACACACCACCGCTTGCTTTGGGAGAATCTCATGTGGGTCTTCATCTTAAAAACCAACTGTGAAAAACAATTATAAAATGAAATTCGAGCACACTGGTGATTTGAGATTATTAAGGAATCAATGTCAAATGGGGGGGGGGGGTAAATCCGATGATGTTATTGAATTTCCAACAAAAAAGCCCTAATCAGTTAGAGGTCCATACTGAACCGTTTACAGGTGGAATGGCATGGCGTCTGGGATTTGCCACCTAATAATTTGGAAAGTCGAGAGGAAGGAAGAGTTGTACGTGAAACAGGGTTGGCCACGTGTGAGCAGCTGCCGACGACGAAAGACAGACACACTAGACTGTTCCCTCTCCGTCCAACCCTACGATTTGAAAACGGCTGCCTGGGTACCTCTCCAAGCAGGACCCCCCTGACCCCACGCTACAGCCCCTGCTGGGGCCACGGGAAGTCCTCCCCAGCCCTCCAGCAGCCAAGCTCCCTCATGCACCGCGTCCCTCTGCCTGACAGGCCCTTTGCCCTCTAGGACTTGCTTAAACCTCCAGAAGCAAGGTCATCTGGGTTCAAATTCGGGGCCAGTCATTTACTAGCTGGGTGACCCTGAGCAAATCGGTAGCCTCTCTGTGCCTTTGCTTCTTCACAGATACAGGCCAGATGAGAACGCATCCACGTCCTGGGTTCCTGGCACAGGGTAAGTCTCCATAAAGTAGCTGTTGCTAGTATTCTTCTCCAATTGGCAAAATCTGATTCTCTCTTTTTAAAATACATTTTTATTGAGTTTTTAGAGAAAGGAAGGGAGAGGGAGAGAGAGATAGAAACATCAATGATGACAGAGAATCATCTACCAGCTGCCTTCTGCACGACCCCCCTAATGGGGATCAAGCCCACAACCTGGGCATGTGCTCTGACCGGGAATCGAACCTGAGACCTCTTGGTCCCTGGGTTGACGCTCAACTGCTGAGCCCCACCAATCGGGCAAAATGTGACTCATGCCTCAGGGCCCAACGCGAACACCACATCCCCGAGGCAGCTTTCCCGCCCCTGGAGCTGTTCACCCTCGGCGGTCCCTGCCACGCTGCCACCCTGGCTAGCGTCCTGCCGAGATCTGTGTGAGCGGGCCTCCGTGGTGGGTGCAGCCTCCGAGCCCGGCTGCCCGGGGTCTCCCAGCAGACGCTGAGCCCCCCGAGGAGGACCCGGGAGAAGGAGCGGGTCCCCCGTGGCTCTGCGGCCCCGGCTAAACTTCAGGCCCACCTCAGCTCGGGGTGACACGTTCCACAAATGCTTCATTACCTGCCTGCTGGGTGAACAAAACACTCGCTTCCCCCCACCTAACAGATGAACATTCTGCTTACAGTTTTCTTCTCTCTGCACTGCCTCAGCCATCAGCCGATTTAGATGCATTCCCGTCAAAACAGAAAACTGAAATACACACCTGGATTGTAACCTCTCCACTTTCTCAGACAAAATCCCTGTGGATTCGGTCACTAAAACAAGACTCTCCATGATCAATGATGGGCGGGGGAGGGGCGCCTGGCCATGGCTTCCCCCAAGATGACCCGCAGTTGGTTTTATGGCCGCTACAAAGCCCGAAGCCCCCCGCCCCGGACAGCTGGGCGGGCCTGCCCGGTGCGGCCATCAGGAAATTGCAGGAAACCTGCACAGTGTGGAGTGTGCAAGCCGAGAGCATAAAGTTCCTTTAGAAGAAGAAAGGCTCGGTTACTGCCCACCGGCCTGGGACCCGCCTCCCAGGACTTTTTGGCGAGCAATTAACAAAGACACCACTTCCCCCGCTGGCTGCCTGAGGAGCAGGAGCGGTTCCAGGCTGGTGGGGAACGGACTGAAAGGTCCTGTCTCCACCTCGCAGACCCTCAGGGTTTACTGCCCTCGCAATTCCTTTCGGTCACAGAGTGGTGGGGTCCGGGGAGCCGCCACCGCGGGATCAAACGCGGGCCCCCCACGCCGGGTGGGCCCCCACACCTTCCACCCCCAGTGGCCTCAGAAGCAATGAAATCTGACGCCAACCACCCGGGAGCGGCTTTGGAAGAGTGAGTTTCCTGGGATTTTTCTTGTTTCCCGAGAACTAGTGACAACAAGCCCATGAACCTGCCCAAGGAGAGAGCTGGCTTCAACCTTCTCTCTCCCTGGCGTCCACTGTCCCAGGGCCGTCTGTCCCTCCAGGCAGCATCCATCGCCTGGCTTCAGAGCTCACAGGGGGGCGGGTGCCCCCACCCCCGCCCTCAGAGCAGGAGCTATTCCGGTTCCTTCTCTGGGTCGGTCCTCCCGCCCTTCCATCCGCAGCACAGGCCTCAGACAGGAAACGTGCTCAGCAGATGTCCCGAGTGCGCTTACCCACCAGCACACGCGGGACGTCTAAATGCTTGTACACATGGAAGGTGCAGAAGGAACCGGGAAGGGAGTTAACCCAGTTTTTCCCATAAACTCCCACCACCCAACTGGCTCCCACAGTGAAGCTGTCCCCGAGGCTACGCCTGGAACAGACAGATCATCACCAAGCTTCTCCTCCCAGGAACCCCAGAGCGGGGCGAAGGGGAGACGCTGCGGAGGGGTCAGGAGTGGAGTGGGCATCGCCTCCCCACCTCGTGGGGGAGGACACTGAGGCCCGGCCGCCACCAGCAAGCTGTGGTCACATGCAGGACTGGAACCCAGCTCCCTGGGCTCTCGGCCTCCCCTGATGGGGGAGTGAGCTGAGCCCAGAGCCTGGCACACAGTAAGAGCTTGATAAATGTAGGAACCAAGAAGGCCAGGCTCAACTCTGCCCGGGTGTCGGGGTCTCCGTGAGCCAGTGGTTGGTTGAAAGATCAAAGTCCCAGTGTCTACCACCCACTGCTGACCTTGACCTGAAGACGGGACCAGGAGGTGTGGTCATTCATGAAAGGGTAGAATTTGGAGCCAGGAAAAGCCGAGTTCAAATCCTGCCCCTGTTCCTTTTCTCATGTGCCCTGGGGCAAGTTCATTAACAGGGCCAAGCCTACCTCTAAAACCAGGATAAGAGGGACACCTCTTGAGAGGTGCGAGGTCAGGGGAAGCAGAGACGGGCGGAGGGTGCCCGGCAGTTACAGGGGATATGCAGGTTCTGGAGGCAGGAACACACACTCAGCCTTATTCTCCCGCCTCACCCCCGATCGCTTCTGGGAAGGGCTCGGACAGAGTGTGGGTCCCATTCCTGACATAGGTAAGCACGTAGGGGAGGTTTCATGAATACAGGGTTTTTTTTTTTAAAAAAAAATGATACTAAATGATGGAGTTTCTACAGGAAGGTAGTCACATTTCAAACCTCGCCCGCCACCGTGGCTCAGTGGTTGAGCATCACGCTATGAACCAGGAGGCCATGATTCAACTCCCAGTCAGGGCACAGGCCCGTGATTTGGGCTTGATCCTTGGTGGGGGGCGTGCAGGAGGCAGCCATTCCATGATTCTCTCTCATCATTGATGTTTCTATGTCTCTCTCTCACTCTCCCCCTTCCACTCTCTCTGAAATCAATAAAAATAAATAATACGTAAATAAGACAAATCTCATTTTCATTCCATTCCACAAAGAGATCGTCTACTGGGAGACGTAAGCGGTGTGTGACGTGCTGACGCGTCCCCAAAGGTGGCCCACCCGTGCCCGCCGCCGGGCGGACAGAGCCACAGCATGGAGAGGGGCGGGGGGGG